TGATGGACCTGCTGCTCGACCTTGATCCGAAGTCTAAGACAAAACCTTTTATCATGGCCAAGATCCCCGCACTCGAAACAACCCTTCGGAGCAGTGGGCTGCTGACTTGAAGTCTGACCCTGATGGCCTGAATAACCACTGAAGGGACCTGAATAGCTAGCGGATGGTAAGTACTCTCTAGAATGGCACTAAAGTAGGGTCGTGCTGGATCACTTTGAGTAGGCGGTGGTGCTGACTGCATGGGCCTACCAGACTGACCCCTCATGAACTGACCTCTGCACCTAGATAGGGCGTCACTGAATCCTCCAAACTGCTGGGGCTGCTTGTCCCTCGGCGCAAACTCCATTGCAGTTGCGAATACGCTCGATCCTCTCTACATCTATGGGAATTTTAATAGCTGCATGGTGAGACAAGTTAGTGAATCTCGCCTCATAGTTGGTCACAGACATATGACCCTGACGGAGTTGCTCAAACTGACCCCGAAGCTCCTCTCTCTCAGAAAGTGGTATGTACTTCTCTAGGAACAGATGCGTAAACGGATCCCAAGTCAAGAGAGGTGAACCAGCTGGCCTTCTAAGAAGGTAAGCCTACCACCATCTGCGAGCCTTGCCCTCAAGCTCAAAGGTAGTGAAGTCCACCCTATTGGACTCTAATATCCCTATGTTCCGTAGATTATCCTTGAACTGGTTAATGAAATCCTGGGGATCCACTGATCGCTCACCCGTAAAGTCTAGTCTATCTGTTCAGGCACTTTTGCTGATCAACGGTCTCGACTAGTACAGCCTCTAGCACAGCAATTGTAACTGGTTGGGCTCCACCCATAGGTAGTGCAACTAGGTCTGATAAACGGTAGCGGTGTGCCCTGGAGCCTGAGCGGTAGGGATCTGTGCTCCCCCTCCAGCCTGAGATGTGGAAGGGTCCACTGGAAATAAACCATCATGCGTCATAGAGTCCATGAATCGTAGCATAGAACCCATGACCTCCTAGAATCCCGGTGCAGTCATGAAATCTGCTGAAGCTGGCTCAGCTGTAGGCACCTCATCCTGCTCCTCAATAACAAGATCCTCCACTAGATTCACTGGTGGTACAACGGGAGAAACTCTAGGACGCCCTCATCCTCTAACAAGATCTGGAGCCCCCCCNCACCACGCGCGTTCTCAACATCTTAAGAGATCAATAGAAAAATATTTAGCACAATATCAACTGCATATAGGAGATGAAGAAAGAGAAGTTTCCTAACACCCTATAGCCTCTCGAAAATCAGTATGGACGTCTCCGCACCAATCCACAAGACTCTACTAGGCCTGCTCATAACTCGTGAGACCTATGTGAACCTAACACTCTAATACCAAGCTGTCACCACCCCAAACCCATAATAGGTCGCGATGGCACCTAATACCGCCGTTAGGCAAGCCACAAGTGAAACTACAATTTATTTACCCCTCTTTTAACATTTAAACAAAAGTTTCCCTTTTTGAATGAACAAAATAAGTAAGATCTCATGCAATTGTACATTCTCTTTTCTTGAAAAAATACCAGCATAATAAGTACATATGTTGTAGTGATAGAAATGATAAGTACATTGGTACATAAATGCTAAAAATCCCCAAAACCCTGCTCCACAATTACATGAGCAATATAAAGAATATACAAAACTAATACAACTTACTGCAAAAGTGATAGACAAAACTAATAAACAAGGTAGAGGGAGACTCCAGTACTGTAGATCATAGCAAGGCAAGTAGCTCACCACCAAGTCTCCGTAGATGATTGGCTATGCTCCACATGACCATTCGTAGTACCTGTCTCGGTAGCTGCACATTCACTGCAAAAGTGTAGCTTGAGTGCGAAAAGAATGTGTACCCAGTAAGTATCTAGTCTAACATCGAAGAAGTAGTAAAGAGGGGTCGACTTGAAACTTACTAGAGGTAAAATAATAATAAATATACTTAAAGTAGACATGGTGAGTGTACAACAAGTAGCAACGAAGCAAATATAAGTAACTATAGTAAATCCACACATGAGTCTATTCAAATCACTAAACACATCATAACTAACCATGAAGGCGCTTACTCAATTATTACCAAACCAAATCCAGTTCAGATTATTAAGCATGAAGTTGCCGAAGTGAACGGTCTGATCCCATAGGAATAGTAGTACTCAATACTGCTGAGATGAATGGCCCGATTCCATAAGAATATTGTTACCAACCTACCGAGGCGAATGACCCGATCTCATAAGAGTAGAGTTACCATACTGCCGAGGTGAACGACTTGATCGCATAAAAGTAATTTATTTCACTTCTAAGGCGAACGACCCGATCCCATAACAGTAGAGAAATTTACCTTGCTCGTGGAAACACATGTGAGACGAGAAGATACGGATCTATAATTTACCAAATCTTTCCCAACTTTACTAAAGTAAGAGACTAAGGCCTCATTTGCTTTTTTAAGATTAAGACGTTAAATCTGAATACAAATCAGAATATCAAGATGTGTATTAAGATTCAAACATATGAATCTGAATACACATCTGAATATTAAGATGTGTATTAAGATCTGAATACTAAATGATTAAGACTGTTTGATTTTTAACAGCTAAAGTATAAAATTTATCTTTATTTGAAAATTAATAAACATAAAATTTAAATTAATTACTAATTAATCAAATATTATATCAATAAATATATAGTTGTTTAAAATATGATAGTTGTTGGTGGTGATGGCTAATGAGTGAATGGACTTGAGACGTTGGTTGGTGGTAGTTTTGGTTGATGGTGGTGGTTCAAGGTAGTAGCTAGTATTGATTAGTAGTGGTGGCGATTATGATTGAGAAAGGTGGTAGTTGATGGTGATAATTAATAATGGCAGGTGGTGGTGGTAATTGTAATTGAGGAAGGTGGTGGTGGGTGGTGGTAGGTTATAATTATGGATAGTGCCGGCTATTGTTGTTGATAGTGATGGAGTGGTTAGTTGTGGTAGTTGGGGTGGATAAGTGTTGATTGTGGTTGAGAATGATGGTGGTAGGAATAGTGGTCATGGTAGGTGGTGATAGTCGATAATGGTGGTGGCTATGATTGAGGATGGTGGTGGTGGTGGCGGCGTGGTGGTAGTTGATAATGGTAGGCGATGTTGGTAGTTAATAATGAATATGGATGATAGGATCTTAATGAAATTAAGTCGTTGTTATAGATCTTAATCATACAGACCTATTCAAACACATTAAGTGATTGTGAAGTAAAAAAACAAACACACTTAATAATTAAGATTCAGACTTTAAAAACAAACGCATTTAATGTCTGAGATCTAAATGATTAAGATTCAGACCACCATTAATTGCAAACAAATGAGGCCTAAGTCGATATCCTTAATAAAAATCCTCAACCTCAGTCCTAATCAAGATAATTAATACACAAGATAGGAATAAAGCAGCACAGTTAAAGGCATGATGTGAATCTAAGTCTACCTAGACATATCATGAATATAGCTACCCACGGACTCTCGTCACCTCGTGCATACGTAGCTCCCCACAACAAGTAGCACACAACAATTAATATACCTAAGGGGATAAGTTTCCTCTTACAAGGTCAGGCAAGAGACTTACCTCGATTCCAAATTCCCAATCTGGCTCTTCAACATCACTAGAACTCCTCAAACAACGTCGAGGACTCCGAAACTAACCATAGGTCGCATAAACTAAAAAATATTTGCTCAAAAGTTTATAATTTAGATATTAGAGTAATTACCCAACCCAATTTGGAAGATTCATAAAATTCGCCCGTAGGTCCATGTGCCCGAATTCTGAAAATTTTCAAATATAAATATTACCCATGACTTCATGAACTCAAATATATAATTTATTGTCAATACATAATTAATTTTGTGGTCAAATCCTTTTTTTTTTTACCAAACCCTAGGTTTTAACAAAATCTCACAATATTTTCCTTAATTTCATGTTAAATCAACTCATAATCTGTGTATTTAACTCAAGAATTGATAGGGTTCACTTACCTCTTGATGTTAATGAAAATCTCTCACAAGAATGCTTTCAAAATCGCCTAAGACCAAGTGAAAAATGAGAGAAAAGAGGCTAAGTCCTGTAATAAAGTCCTTGCGCCAGTCGCAGATGTCACATTTGCGACATCAGGTTCGCAAATGCGATATTGGCGTTGCAAAAGCGAAATCTTACTAGCTCTGCCTCAATCGCAAATGCGACATAAAATATCGCAAATGTGAAACTGGCACCTCGCAAAAGCGAAAAATATATCACAAATGCGGAAAATGCTACGACCAGGCGACCTTGCAAATGCGATAAATTCCTTCGCAAATGCGAACCCAACAGTGTCACTCCAACCTCACAAATGCGCAGCCCTCCTCGCAAATGCGAGGTTCGCAAATGCAAACAAAACCTTGCATTTGCGAGACCTGAAGCACTAGATCAAAACCAGCAAAACTGAAGCTCTTCCAAACACGCCGAACCGCATTCGAAACTCACCTGATCCCCCGGGGCTCCACACCAAACGTCCACACAAGTCTAAAATATCATACGGACTCGCTTGCATGATCAAAATACCAAAATAACATCTAGAATCACGAATCAGACCCCAAAACGCATAAAGTCAACATGAAACTGAAGAACTTCTAAAAAAAACTACAGTGCATCTGATTCCTATCAAATCAACTCCGAATGACACCAAATTTTGTGTACAAGTCATAAATCATCATACAGAACTATTTACTAGATCGGAATCCAAAATGGATCTCGATAGTACTAAACTCTACTCCAAACCAAATTTAAAAAATGGAAACCCTCAAATGAAACAACTTTCCACATTAAGCGCTGAAACGCTCCCGGATCACCCGAAATCCGATCCGAACACACGCAGAAGTCCAAAATTATCATACGAACCTATTAAAATCTTCGAATCCAGGTTCCGAGATTGTTTACTCAAAATAATAACTCAAGTCAAACTTGGCCACCTTAGGCCACTATACTAAGTGTTTGAATTTCAACCTGAACCCTTCCAAATCAAAACTAACTATCCCCGCAAGTCACAAAAAGTAAAAACACATACGGGGAATCTTAATTAGGAGAATGGAGATCTAGAAAGTAAAATGACCGGTCAGGTCGATACACATTTGTGACAACATCTTCATTTTTGCGAAGCCAGCAACTCCTCACCAATTATCGCATTTGGTAGTCGAACTTTGCAAAAGCGGGACTCGCAATTACGAACAGGTCTTGACAAATGCGAGACCTGCAGACCCTAGACACAAGCAAAATCATCGGCAATTCAAAACCTTTCGAATCAGATCCATGAAGCTCTCGGGATCCAAAAATATGCACACAAGTGTACTAATATCATATAGACTCTGCTCGTTCAAATCATCAAAAATCAAGAATTAACCATTAAAACTCAAAAGACAAAACAACTGTGTAATTGTAAAGGCAAAACAAAAGACATGATATTTGGTAGAGACTGATCAAGATAAAATCCACATGTAATAAGTGGTCCATAGAGTAAGAGCAACTGATGCCAGTGCATAATTCCATAGCATAATCACTGAACATTCACTTTCACCAACTTCAAACAACTGTGTAATTGTACCTGCACATTTACCAACCAAAAATGAGCAAAACTCTAGGAAAACGGTTGCATTTAAAGTGAGAAATTATGAGAGGCGCCTTCAGACTTTAATGTTTATAGGTTCCGATAACGATTTCACATTATCAATTGAGTTCACAATCAAATATTTACAGATATTTAATGAATTTTTTAATACATACACAAGGACCGTGCAAAAGTTACTACTATGTTCCCGGGAACCCGTACGCTACCCTCTAGATCCGCCAGTGGAAATTATTGCACAGAATGTCTTACATCATCCCCCAAAAACGGTTTATAAACGGACAATATTTACACTATCAGGTAATCTAAACAATAACTACATATAACCATAATCAAATTGTTTAAACTATTAAGTATGTAGAAAAAACAAGGAGAGAGAGAGATATTAGTGCTGATTAATGAATGAGTATATAGTACCGATAGTCATTGCAGAAGGAAGTGCATATTGCAGGAGAAGTACAAACTGATATAAGGAATCTGATCCAACCAACCCAAAATGGCGTGCAGCTTTGACAACACAAATCCCTGATAATGGCATTGCCACATAACGTACTACCTGTATGCCTATCACAACCCACATCCCTACTGCGGACTTTTTCAGCCCTGCACTTAAAATAAATACACGACTAAGTTTACAGCGTATATAAATTTCCATATTATAGCTTGTTTGGCAAAGCTGCAAAAATTAACTTATTTTGAGAAGTATTTTTTCTCAAAAGTACCTTTGGTGAGAAGCAGTTTGTGTGTAGCTAATTAATTTGAAAAGTACTTCTGAGTAGCAATTAATGTTTGGTCAAGCTTTTAAAAATTGCTTTTAAGTATATTTTTCTCAAAAATGCTTTTCAAAAAAGTGCTTTTTGGAGAGAAACTGTTTTTTTTCTGGTTTTCCAAAGTTGCTTCTACTTCTCTTTAAAAATATATTTTTTCCTTCCAACAGCTTGGCCAAAACACTTCAATTGTTGGAAAAAAGACACTTTTGGCTTAAAAAAAAACACTTTTAACCCAAAAAAAAAAACTTGGACAATCAAGCTATAAATCACATAAGAAAGAATTTTTGGGAACCATCAAAGTTTAATGTATCTTCTACTGTCAGGAATTACCTCTAAGAAGATTTGCTCCAACTATCAATGTCATGGCTGGTATTGCAGCCTCTCTGCAGCGCATAACAAGTAGCATTGAGTGAGTTGTCATATATACAAAAAAATTCAAAATTGAGCTTTGTTATAAGCTCATTTAATTAGGCTTCATACCCTAGCATAGAAGCAGAGCTATCAATCACATGCAACGGAGCCTCATTTCCAATCATCAGCTTTCTTAAGAGGGACGTTACACCAATGATGATCCCAACAATCTGTAGAGATTACAATTGCCAATTTATAGTGTCAAATTAAGGAGTGTTATACTGATAAATAGGAGTAATAATGGGGTCGTACCGTAGCAATTGTCGATGGTGCAAACAACATTTTGAAATTGATCCTTTGCGTCCATATTTTGATATGTTGCTTGATCTTCCTAACAAAATGTCCCTATACAATATTCCAAGCAATGTTTAGCCCAACCAAATATATATAAAGGAACAAAAGAGCTAATTTCCATGGTTTACTCATCATGATTTCTTTTGGTGAATTCTGGTTCATTATACTGAGCTAAGAAACAGAATGAGAAGGGAATAAAGAGTTCTGCTAACATGAAAGGTCATAAGGTTAATTATCTTACAATAGTTTTCTAATATAAATGGTTACTTTTAGTTCTGTTTTTGGTAACTTCACAGTGCAAAAGTTTTTCTACGCTGTCGATCAGTGCATAAAATTGAAACTCTATGTTAAATGATAAACAGAAAAGAACCTCATGTGTGGTTTCATATCCAATGAGAGGTACTGCAAGTTGAGCTTCATGGTCCATATGATCAGATTGTAGCCTATCCTGTGAAGATAACAATTTCGTACAGCTATCGGACAGTAACAGATCTGGGACTTCACCAGAATCCTCTATGTTGACAGTTGAGGTATTATGTTGGACTCCATATGCTCGAATTATGTTATAGATATAAGTCCATATATAGACTGCTCCTATCTACAGAATATGAAACCCAAATTAGAGGCTAACATTCAAACTTCTTTAATTAGGGTCAATTATAAATAGAATTTCATACGTATAAATTTATGAATCCACTTTTCAACTTAAAATAAATATTATTTAAATTTTAGATCCGCCACTGATCAAAAATTAACCCACATAAATAAGGACGCAAAAGGTAGCAGAAGTGGTGAAGGGGTGGTTGTTTTTTAAGGAGTCGTTTGGTATGAGGTATAAGAAGGTATAGGGATGGTATAAAAATTTAATACCACTTTAATACTCTGTTTGGTTAGCAAACCAGGTATAAGTTATCCCGATGTTAAAATTAACACCGGTATAAGTTATACCTTCTTCTTAGAAATTATACAATTGTCATTCTTAATACAACATACCAAACAGTGAATAAACAACAACCCTAGCATAACTAATCTCAGCATAACTTATCCCAACATAACTTATAACGGCATAAAACCCTATACCAACCAAACGACCCCTGAGAGTAAGATTTATAATGAGAGAGTTGGGGGAGGTACCGCCATAGATAGTGATGCATAGGCCTTTCCATTGGTGGAGCATGTAACTGAATCTCCAAAGGGACTATTTTTCTCCACACAAACTGCAGGAATTATGATGAGAAGCAAGTTCCCCAGATTCCCTAGAAAAAAACAAACACTCATTGATCAATATATGCATGAATTTGAATTGTGAATGTGAGAGTACTAGTAATTCATTAGTAAAACGAAATTATAAATAGTATATATATATAAGTATATGTTGTTAACCTGCAGCACAGCAACTTATAACAAGGCCATGAAGTTCTATAGGAGTTCTTGTGATTTTCACAAGTAACCATCCAAGTGCTGAACCGATTATAAATGTGAGAAGGATGTTTACAGGCATGAACCATCTACACATAATAAAACCAAACATATAACAACGGAGTAATTAATGTGGCAGCAGATTCAGAGCATAAGTACATATTGCATAATTAAGAAATTAATTAAAATGAACCTACGTACAATGAAACAATGTTGCTCGATGTTACTGTTTCAGCCAAACTGCTAGCCACCAATGCGGGAGTGAAAATATAGAACACAAGCTGCTCCAAACGTTTTAGAAGAAAAAATGAAAGTTAAAAGGCCAGTTGGTTATCAAGTTATGGAAACTCTATATAATGCCATTGTCCTGGTTGAGCACTCTTTATTCTTTGTCCAATTTCTGACTTCTTACCAACACGCGAACAATTGTGAAGTTGAACCAGATACAATGAATGAATTTATGTATCTGTGCACAGAAATTGCGTGCTGACCGGGCAGATAGAACATAAATGCTAGTATTTTTTTATTTTTTTTTACTATAATTTAATTTTCAAGAATTAAGAACATGAGAAAACTTACATTGTTCAAATGGTGCCTTGCAGTAGAGCCAAGGAGATTGACACGTTCCAAAGCAAGGAACAAGCCAACAGCAGTAATTATGAGAGTTTTCAGAACAGGTACTAATGCCACGACGAACAAGTCCACAAATGCCATCTTAATGTATATAATGGAACACCTTCACGAAGTTTCTTCAATTTATACTTCCATTTTTAAAGGTGGAAACTGCTTTAATTGAAGTGAATTGAATCAGAGATTCAGAGTCCATAGTTTACCTCCCCCAGTCTACAACTACAACTCTCCAAATGGACAAGGCTATACATAAATATAGAGAATGACATATATAGCAAATTACTACTAAGAGTCTTGCGCTTACTTAAAGTGACTTTTATGCCAAAATAGATTTTAAGTCATAAGTTAGAAATTCTAACTTTTGACTTGTTTTTGTCATTTTAGCTTAAAAACAAGTGTTTAAAAGCATTTTTTTTACTTTATTCAAATACTATAAAATGACTTAAAAGTTATTTTGGCTTAAAAGCACTAAAAATAAGTCAATCCAAATGGGTCCTAAGACATAATTACAAGTTTTGAGACCGTGGTTTTTCAATTTGAAGTTTGTAAAGTAATCCCTCCTATCCGTTCCGATTTATGTGAACCTGTTTGACTGGGTACGGAGTTTAAGAAAAAAATGAAGATTTTTGGAAGTTATGGTCCTAAACATATCAAAAAGGGGTCTGAATATTTATGTGGTTATAAAAGTTTCTCATTAAGGATAGAATTAAAAGTTTAAGCTAAATTATTTCAAAACTTTAAAAGAATTTTTTTTTTTTTTGGAACTAACCAAAAAAATAGTTTCAGACAAACGAAGGGAGTAAGATGTATTGCAAAATTGGTTAATAAAGCAAATGGCCGGGTCCCAATTGTACAACTTGACGCTGACAGCTGATAATAGAGGCAGTAAATTGCTCTTTTGTCTACATAGACACAAGGAATAGAAATAACGGAAAATGGCTAAATATATCCATGAGAAAAGATTCAAGTATATCCTTCCTTATACTTTGAATTTACATATATTCTTACCGTTATACTATTAGTACAAATATATTTATATTATGTTAAGATTCTTCAAGGTGCAAATCCAACTCAGGTAGCACTGATATTTGATGAAGTGGATGACACGTGGCATGTCACCTCAGTGCCCCTAACTCATTATACTCTTCTTCTTCTTCTTCTTCTTTTCTACCATCAAAATGTTTTTCCCTTCCCCACCATTACCGCCGCCATAGATAATTCACTCCGTTTCAATTTAGGTGAGGCAGTTTTATTCGGTACGGAGTTTAAAAAGAAAAGAAAACTTTTGAAACGTGTAATCTTAAAAACTTAAGGGGTAAAGATTTATGGGGCTCATTATATTTGTGTAGTTATAAAAGCTTATCATTAAAAATAAAATGAAGAACTTAAAGTTTAATTATTTTCAATTGTAGAAATGAGTCATTCTTTAGAACAAATTAATAATAAAAATATATCAGAAACAGGGGAATATTATATTTCAAGTTTTTCTACAGGTCACTGGGCTTTTGCTTTTGGTGTCCTTGGTAAATATAGCCTCTTTTCCTTTTTGCTTCTCATTAAACTTGCTTCTTCTTGCTGCCGACATACTGTTTTTCTTACTGCTGATCGTTTTCACACTTGTAATAATTTGTCATAGTACTTTTCAAGAAAAGAAAATTAGTGAATCCAGTGCGCATGTAATGTATAGTAATAATTAATCATAATATCAGTCCTTTCGTAAATATGAGCACATCAACACGTATAGTAATTTACATGCCGCACATGCGCCTTTCTCCTAAATCATTTCTTTAATTTCTAAAATATGGTCAGATACTTGTATTTTAAACTCATGGAATTTTTCTTTTTCCTTTTGAAACTTGCAAGTAATATTATTTTGTTCATTGTAGTCCTTTCTCCAATGTGAGTTTCCATTTTCTTTCTTTTTTATTTTAATATGGTAAAAAAATTAATTTTGGCTTTTAATCTAACACTATATACTTGCGCCATTCCCACATTTTATAAAACTAGTATTTGGATACGCACATTGTGCATGTACCCCATATGAATTATTGATTAAATATTTTTTAAAAAAATCATATAAATATTATAGAAATTAATTACAAAAGTAAAAAAAAAAGTATAAGTTTCTGAAGAATAATTAGTGGTGTTCTTATTTAATAACTCAATAAAAGAAGAATATTTGAAGAGAAAATTTTACAAAATTTAAGAGAAAGTAATTAGCTCTTATTAAGGAGGATGAGGATATTATTTTGATCTGATACCTTAAAAAAATTTGATACCAAAAGATTGTATATGTATTTAGCAAAAAATTGTATATACTCATGATTATAATAAGCTAGTTAAAAGCTTTCAAGACACGTTTTACATGGAAATTTATTATTTTCAAAGAATAAATATTATTTAATTTTTTATGGACATTTTGATGATTTAACTTTTTACATTGGTCAGGCTTTTCATATTTATAATAGCAATAACATAAATAATAGATAGTAGTGAGGTTAAATACTCGGTAAAGGCAACAAGAAGGGGGACTTTGGAAAAAAATTACAAAAAGGGAAATAAGGGAAAGAAAGTCTTGCAGATGATAAAGATTAAAGCGTAAATTGCAACAGAATGTTTGACAAATCATACATATGCATAATTAACAAACCCTATTTGTATAATATAATGAACCTGCAATATCCATTTATCAATTATGACGAACAAATTAAGATGAGAGTTAGATAATGTGTTCAAATACATTCTTACAAGCAGTGGGGGCTCCAACTTAAAAACTAAGAACTTCTCTTTTTGAATAAACTATTAAAGAACTTGGATGAGATAAATTTTTAAATTTAAATGAAAGTTCTCTTTGTTATGATAAAAATTAAAATATGGTGGATGTCTCCTCTTCCTTCATGATCTTTCTCTCAAATGGTTAATGATATATTCAATGACATATTTTTTATGTTCAATGACCTATTCCATGACATATTTTCTTCACTTTTCATGCCTATATAAAGGCCTTGTAATAGATAGGAAAATACACACAATTGAAGAAGAAAATCTCTTTCTTTCTCTCTATCTCTATTTCTTGTTCATATTTTACTAAATTGTCTTTTTTTCTTATTCATGTTTTACTAAATTGCTTTTATTTCATAACACGTTATCAGCACGAGTCTCTAATCAATTATATATATATCTACAAAAAATCTCCTACTTCCGAAAAGATTGCAATTAGAAGTCATACATATCATCTCATGGTTAGATGTAAAAAGAAACTACATATGGTAAGTAATGAAACGTACGAAGGTATAATTATCTTATACTTGTTATTTCTTTAATATCTCATATGCACACAACTTCGTACTACATCTGTATTGTATAAACACATATTAATATTACATTTTTTATATCACATGAATGGAATGAAATTTTTGAAGTTCTATAAGTGAAAATCATAGTACCAGTTAATTGTTAATATGATGCATGTCATGGTAACCAAGGATATGTTATATAAGTTGTCTTATGTATATTTGTGTGTTAACTATCTTCAATATATCTTATCGCTTTTAACATTTTCTTTTACTTTGATGGATATTTTTCTATTTTAGGTTTTTACACTTGCATATAGTTAAAAAAAATAAAAAAAAATGGGTCATACCGATTAGAAGCATAAATCATCTTGAAGAAAACAAAAAATACTTCACATCTTTATCTAAGTTGATTAATTACTTCTTTGAAATTTGGAAAACAAACCAACTATTGAGAAAGTATACTTCATAATTTATGATCGTATCATTTGAAAGCAAACAACGATTAGTATGACTACTAGAAGAGGCATTTTCGAGTATCCATGATCTACTTGATGTTTGCTATTGGCTTACCATTTTCAAGTATTTTATATGAATGACGCATAAGCTACAACTGGTAAGTTGTTACCTATAATGGCACTTTTTTTCAGGTAATATAAATGCTAAATTTATGTATTAGTACTATATATGTGTTGTTACCTATATGTTGTACTTTTGATAAATTTATTCACTAATTGCTTGGTTGAATTGAGTGAAAGAAAGTCATGACATTAAATCAAGTCCAATTAGTAGGGTATACCCCGAAAACAACAATATTTTTTAGAGAAGCTCAATAAATATTATGACAATTATTTTATGATCCATTTAAACTCTAATACAATTTAGAAGAAATATTCTGATTACAAACGGTTGTATTTCATATAGATACTACAAATAATTGATAAAGATTTACGCTGATTTGAGATTTGTACACTTATTTAAGAAAGCCAATTTGATTTGCTAAGTTACAAATTAGTTGTGTACAACTTTCTTGGCATGTGATTGAAATTAAGGCTTGAGAATGAATCTCAATATTGTTTAGCCTATTATGCTATTGATTAAGACATTGGGATCAAGTCCTGATGCTCCATAATGATAAGAATTGGGTTTGAGTCCCAATTTGTCATGGTCTAACATGCTTTTATTTTGTTAAGACATTGGATTTGAGTCTCACTGTACTATATTGATGATATAATGATTGTTACACCTCCTTTTTACCTACACCCCGCAAAGGGGTGTAAAGGGAGTTTTTCCAATTAAAGGACAATCGAAACAGGATTTATTATTTAATTCGGAGTCGCCACTTGGAAGATTTATGGTGTCCCAAGTCACCGGTTGAATCCCGAATCGAGGAAAGGATTAACCCGGGACAAGGAATTCTGTTAACCCGGGAGAAGGTGTTAGGCATTCCTGAGTTCCGTGGTTCTAGCACGGTCGCTCAACTATCACATTCGGCTTATTTATTTGACTTTAACAATTATGAGCTTATACGCAAGTTTTAACTCTTTACCGCTTTTATTATTATCATTTTTTAACAGAGAATTGCAACGTTGTGAAGATGTATCTCGAACCACATCACATCAATGTACCCGTGGTTGTCGACATATTTCAACTCCGTTGGGATTTGGATTTGGGTCACATAAATGTGCACCCGAATTTGAGAAGGTAATGTTATTTAAAGTACGCACCTAAAGAGATTAACGCGTGGTTATTTTGGGAAAAAGTCCATGAAGTTCGCTAAGCGGCCGATCCCGAGTTCTAAGTAATTAATACATACATTTGTGGGGGCCCCGCAATCTATGCGTTTTACTAGGCGAGGCTCATCTCGTTTATTTTAAAAGGACAATC